ACCCGTACTTGGCTCATTTTGGTACATTTATGCATACTTGGTTTAGCCTGAATACGACTCCAACCATATATCAAAGGCGGATAAAAGATAAGGGCTTGTAACTAGGGTGATATGTGGTGGAGATCCCAGTAACTTATCAAAAGTAAATACGAGACAAACATGAACTTATGGTAACGGTAATACTAAATTCAATTTTTGGGATAGTCAAATGGCATGAAAAGTCACATGCATGACCACTAACATTTCATTTCAGAAACAGGTAGCTCATACCAATAGTGCTACAACAAACTCAGATGATTAAAGAATCAGTTGCAGAAAAGAAAAAAAAAAGTAGAAGAAGTAAAGGCACAATGATAATAGGTTTGATAACCTTAATAAAACATGTACATACCCATTAAAAACAGGTATTTCTATTTTTTCGTGTCCTCCATGACGGCGTTCCCTAGTATATTATAAAATTAAACAGTGTAAACTACTTTTTCGCAGAGTACTCTGTATTTATCAAGATGCACTGTAATTATTTCATTCATACACAAATATGCAAATGACATATCACAAAGTAGCTTTATCGAGGTATTTGAAACAGAAATTGTCAATCCAACTCAGGAGCCAATCAGTGACGGCCTCACAGTTTTGGTTTCAAATACCCGGGAAAAATGTTCTATGTTCTTCGTGTTCATATGCCAGGGATTTTTCCACACAAAAAATGACAAATTTGGATGAATTTTTTTAGCGGTTGGCTCAATATCACTCCAACGGATCGTTTAACTTTCACGGATTGGTATTTATTTCCTGATTTGTGGGAATCTGAAATGCATTTCTCAACATATCTCTTATTTAGTTTAATGCCGTATTCAAGATGGTGTTCCCGATAGAGTAAACACTTAACATAGAATACACAAATCTGGAGAGACCACTGAAAACAAATATCAGAACTGGAACAAGCAGATGAGATAAAAACAGACAAACACACATGGATGGCCAGCAGACAGACAGACAATCAAAGAAAGCTTAGAAAGAACTCCTGTGTGCTGAGAGTATTGAAGACACATTACAAATTAATTCAAAATTACTTGTACTTGAGATATTGATGGAATAGCTGAAAACTAATTATGTAAATCAGATAACTGATATGAACAGATTTGAGTGTAAAACTAATAAGACCTGCGTAATGTAATATCTATGTACCAAGTTTCATTGAAATGGGATTAGAACAAAAAAACTATGAATTATTATTAGAGAATTAATATGAACAAATTTCAACCCAAAATTAATCGGGTCTGTCTATTGTTCTAGAGCATTTATGTACCAAATTTTATTCAAATGTGATGATCAGTAATTGAGATATCAGTGTTAATTATTTTAATTAGGTGATTAATAAGCATAAATATTTACCAAAAACTAATTGGGTCTTTGCATAGTCCTAGGTTCATTGAAATGTGATGATGAATACTCTATAAAGGTTTCATTAAAATCCAATTAGTGTTTTTTTATATATCAGTGG